TCTGGCATGATGAGCTGATTTTATCTGAATGCCAATGAAATGGGCAGAAATAATCATAAATAATATTGAGAACTGAGCTCAACATTACTCTGTCTGTACCGGATACATTCTGCTAGAAATGTAAAACCCACTAATTGTAGCCTAAGAAATTAGGCTATTTAATTATTTCAGATATAAAATCTAGAGGTAACCAGTGCTACCAAGGATTCTAGCTCTTTTTCTCTCCCATTCTTAGTCTGTGACTTCTTGTTTTTATGCTTATCATCTTATGTTTGCTTATAAGCAGTTGCTGCAGCTCTTGGTATCACATCTACAATCAAAACCAGAAGGTTCAGCCAGTGTGCTCCTTTTAACAGTGAAAGACAGAGTTTTTAGAAGACTTCCACTCTTTGCCATTGGCCAGAACTGATCACGGGGCAAGCATGAAAAAGAGAGTATTTGGCAAAGGTAGACTGGAATAGCCATGATAGGCCAAGAACTATTTTAACTTATTCTCTGGGACTGGGAATTCTATTAGCAAGGAAGAAAATGGGGAATGCATATTGGATAGATGGCAAATAGTGTCTACTGTACCATCCTTTTGCACAATTTCTAGAATCTTTTGATTTCCGTGATTTAAAGAAACAGCTGGGGAACCCTACTATCCATTGTTGTTGAGTCAATTCCAAATCATAGCAACCCTATGTGATGAAGTACAACTGCCCCATAGGGTTTCCAAGGCTGTAATATTTAAGGAAGTAGACTGCCACATCTTTCTTCTGTGGAGCAGCTGGTGGATTTGAACCACCAACATTGCAGTTAACAGCTACACACTTAACCACTGCACCACCAGGGCTCCTTAAAGCTGGGGAAAGGGCTACTAAACATTAATCGAATAAAAAGGCCCCTATTGATGATTTAGTTTTATTGTCCCTCCCGTATATCTTAATTGTTTCTTTGTTTATGTTCTCTCCTCCACTTGAGCTAAGTCTTAGTTCTTTCACACTTAAATGAAACAGCTATTTTTGAACATAAATCCCAACTGAACTGTAAGTTTTTTGAGTCTAGGGACTTGGCATATAATGGACACTTGAAAAGTAACAACCTACTAAAGAAGCCATGGTGACACAGTGATTAAGCATTCAGCGTTAACCAAAAGGTCTGTGGTTTGAACCCACCAGCTGCTCTGTGGGAGGAAGATGTGACAGTCTGCTCCTATAAAGATTTACAGCCTTGGAAACCATGGAACAATTGTACTGTGTTCTGTCGGGTCACTTTGAGTCAAAATTAACCTGATGGCAGTTGTGTTGGTATGTTTTTTTGGAAGCTCTTATTATGTGCTATGTACTTTTCTAAGCACTTTACATTTATTGTCATTTAATTCTCTCAACAACCCTGTGAGATAAGAAATACTGTACCCTATATGGTAGGTAAGGAAAAGAGAGGTAAATAACTTGACCAGTGTTATAAAACTGGTACTGGTAATTTGGACTGTACAACTGCACTCAACCACTATGGTGTATATTCCCTGTCTGTTGAATGAATTCCCAGTAAGACCACACAGTAGGTATTCAGTCACCACTTAAGACAAGAGGACAGCCTTAATGTCTGGCCCATTTATTCTGAGTTTCCTGCTCATTCCCTGCTATCACCCCTTCCTCTGTAGGCCTTTGAACTTGTTTATTTTTCTACTCTGTAACAACCATCCAAAGATGTCCAGCTTTCTTCTGTTTACTGACTGATGGGAGAAGCACACACTTCTTCCTCTGACAAACCACTGGTGTGATTGGAAAGTTAAAAAAGACAGTTTCACAAAGAACCAATAAAGGAAACTCTAGAAGGGGTTGACTGGCAAGGTAGAGCTTTATTGAATAAGTTCTGCTAAAATAAACCAGAGAGTGTGATTTCCAGGTTTGTTGAGACCTTTGATCATGCCTTTAACCTTCCTAGTCCCTTCAAAAGTGATCTTCTAGATCCTTTGTTCTTGCATCAGACTGTCTGTACTAGAGCCCCACCCTTAGCTCCCTGCACGTTCTTTCCTGTGTCCTAGAGAAAAAATGGCCCTTTCCTACCTGCTCTGTTCCTCTCAGTCATGCTCATGTGTTTGTGTGTTCGTTAGCTATTGATCAGGCTTCACCTATTATTTTAAGATGTGAGCCTTAGTCTTTGCCTTCTTGTGAATCATTACTTCAGTGGCTCTTTGATCATTATGATAGGTCTCTTGATGGCTAATCTCAGAGTCCCTTGTCTCTGTTTTCAAAGTTCTATTCCCTTTCATTCTTCTGAAGGACCCATCTGGCTTTCAGCTTATCTACAGAGTAGATGACCACCCAGTACTCAGCCTGGCTCATTTTACTGATCTTCCTTTTTCCTTTTTCCTGTTTGACTCATTGCTTTGATACTGTCAACAGAGGGATAAGACTTTTTTTAAGACCCCATAAGTGAATTTCTTACAGTACTTTTGAAGGGGTAAAAAGACCATTGCAAGAAAATGTAAATATGCATCTAAATATTTTTTTTTCATTTTCAGACTTTTGTAAATTTATTTTTTACGTACTTAAGTGATGAAAAACCAAACCAAACTCACCGCCATTGAGTTCGATCCAACATATAGCAACTCCTCCTTGGGCAAAGTAGATTTGCCCAGCCCCTCCTTGGGCAAAGTAGATTGCCAAATCTTCCTTCTGAACTTAGGTGATATATGTGTGAAATACTTAAATTTAGTAGAGAACCCCCCCCCCCCCCAATACTTTTACAGTGTACCAAGCATAGGGACACAGATCAGCTGGAGCGGAAGTTAGAGGGATCAGGGGTTGGAACAGCAAACATAACAAATAAGTGCTTTTGAAGTGCTTATGTAAAATGTGCTCTGAGAGTCCAGGTTAGTGAATGCCTCTCTGAGGAAATTCAGGAAAGGCTTTACAAAGGAACTGACCTTTAAAGGTAATTCTCAAGATGCAGCATATGGATTGGAGGAGGGTTAATGAACAATCTGCCATATGCAGATGATATAACCTTGCTTGAAACATTTACTGATGAGTAAAAGGATACGTATTACACCAGAACATAAAGAAAGCAAAAATTCTCACAACTGGATCAATAAACAACATCATGATAAACAACAACAAAACTGAAATTAAGAATTTCATTCTTCTTGGATCAACAGTTAGTGCCCATGGAGGCAGCAGTCAAGAAATCAACATATTGCAGTGGGAAAAAATCAGCTGCAAAAGGCCTGTCTTTAAAGTGTTCAGAAAGCAAGATGTTTCTTTGATGACTGAGGTGTGCCTGACCAAACCTGTGGTCTTTCCAATCAACTTATATGCTTATGAAAGCTGGAAAATGAAAAAAGAAGACCAAAGAAGAATTCACACATTTGAATTCTGGTGATGGTGAAGAATATCGAATATACACTGGATTGCCAGAAGAATGAAAAATTCTGTCTTGGAAGAAGTACAGCCACAATGCTTTACAAGCAGTAATGGTGAAACTTGATCTTGCTTACTTTGGATACATCATCAGAAAAGATCAGTCACTAGAAAAGAATACCATATTTTGAAAAGTGGAGGGTCAGTGAAAACAAGGGAAACCCTCTGTGAGATAGATTGACACATTGACTGCAATAATGAATTTAGACATACCAACAGTTTTGAGAGGTCACAGGACTGGGCAGTGATTTGCTTTTTTATACATAAGGTCTCTAGGAGTTGGAGCCAACTTGGTGACAAGTAACAACTACAGCAACAATCAAGGATGAGTAAGAGTGTTAGGGGTGAGAGAGGAACAAGTACAGATAGAACAACTCATACAGAGGCAAAGAGTCATAAATAGACAGCGTATGATGTCTGCGGGGAGCTCTGGTGGTATAGTGCCTGAGGCATTTGACTGCTAACCAGGAGGCTGGCAGTTCAAACCCACCAGCCACTCCTCGGAGGCAAGATTGGGCAATCTATTTCTGTAGAGATACCATCTTGGAAACCCAAAGAGGGGTCGCTATGAATCGAATTGACTAGATGGCAGTGAGTTCTTTTTGGTTTTTATGACTTCTGGGCACAGTGTGCAGCTGAGCATGGAATGCAGGGTTGGAATGAAATAAGAATAGAAAGATAGATAAGGTTCAGATCATGAGGGGCTTGGTTGTGCCTTTAGATCATATCCTATGGTAATGGAAACCATTTAAATGAACATGATGTGACTGTTTTGCAAAACTAGTGAGGAAGTATAGAAAGTTAAAGAAGGCCTGAGCCAAATAGTGATGGAAATGGGGGAGAAGAAACCAAAGTGAGCAGTTTTCAAGCTAGAAATGACATAGTATAGTGAAGAGTTGAGCAGGGTAAAGAGGAAAAAGTACACTCAGGGATTACTAAAAGACTTCTTTAGTGTTGAGACTGTGCAAACGATAATGCTCCTAACTGAGAATGAGAGTATCAGGAGACTAAATTTTGATTCATAGGTTGGTGTGAGATGGGGGAGGGCCTGTTCTACATTTGAAGTAGATGCAGGGACTTTTTTCAAGCCATGTGCCCAGATTTCAAGTACCCAAAATACGGTTTGAATCAATGTGTAGTCAGTGGTGATAATCAAGTTGGATATATTAACATGAGTAGCCCACTATGTGCTTGGTTTTATCACCACAACTTGATAAGAGAATTACATAAAATGCAAATAGGAAGCTACTGTCACTTAAAAAACAAAAATAGAGACAGAAAAAGGAGACATAGCAGAGCAAGTACTACATCTTCTGATTCCTGGTGAATTTTCTGCTCTGAAACAGGCTTCCAGTCATTCAAAATAATTTTAGGTTATCACCACTATCTTTACCTTGAGAGCACTGTTTTGAGAATTGTCTTCCCTTTTTAACATTCAAACTCGTTTTAGAACAAATTAACTTCTTCATTTTTCCAATCAGTTGTTGAGCCAACGTATTTCTGTATTTTGTTCTCTCTTATTTGTGGGTTTTTAAGAGTAAAGTGATTCTGAAACAGTGTTCTGGTTTTAAAAAATCTGTTTGATATTTGCAGAAACAAATTGGAGAAACATGGTGGAAACTTCAGATGGACTGGAAACATCAGAAAATGAGAGAGAGGTTTCCTGTAAGCACAGCACATCTGAAAAAGCCAGTAAGCTTCCATTTGACACAACCCTTACTGGTAAGCAGCCATCGTTAGTGACTGTAGGCGGTACTACCTCAGCTACAAACCCTGGTAAGTCTACAGCAAGCGATAAAGAGGAAGTGAAGCCAGATGACCTAGAATGGGCCTCACAGCAGAGTACAGAGACTGGTTCTTTGGATGGCAGTTGCCGAGATCTTTTGAATTCCTCCATCACCAGCACCACTAGCACTCTTGTACCTGGCATGCTTGAAGAAGAGGATGATGAGGAGGAGGAAGAGGAGGAAGATTATACTCATGAACCCATATCTGTAGAAGTGCAGCTCAATAGTAGAATTGAATCTTGGGTCTCAGAGACCCAGAGAACTATGGAAACCCTTCAGCTTGGAAAAACCCTTAATGGTTCTGAGGAAGACAATGCAGAGCAAAGTGGAGAAGAGGAGGCAGAGGTGCCTGAGCCGCTGGAGCCAGGGGTAGAGAGTGAGGCATGGACCACTGACCAGCAAGCAAGTCATGAGCAACAGAAGCCCAGCACCTGCAGTTCACTGAACAAAGAGCACTCTGCTTCAAATTATACACCCCAAAATATATAACTCAGGAAATGTCATCATTCTCCAACTGTGTAAGGGTTGCAGCCATTACCTTTTATGCTTCATCTCAACATTTTGCACTGTTCAGTATTTAATACATGTATTTAATTCCCAACAGAAATATTTTTGTAGCTGTCTTTTATTTGTTTGTTATGATCTATCGCTTAGCTTTTAATTAGCATTTAAGTGTCTTTCTAAGAACTGTGTAAAATTTAGATCCATTTCAGCTTATTTTGTAATGGAAAATAATGATTAATAAAAAGAAGGATGACCAAGTTTTAATGAAACTGCCTAAATTTACTTTGAAAGTTAATCAGGGGTCTAAGGATAAGAGCAGGTGCCAGTGTTTGCTTCAGCACTATGTCTCTTCACTCTAATTTGTGACTAGAAAGGTGTTTGGGCTTCTTTAAAAAGAATTAGAGGTAGAATCAAAGAACTAATAAAAATCAGAAAACTAAAAAATGACGCAACTCTTGTTTGGTCCACAGATGCTTCTTGTAGAAGCATCTCTCATTGTGATAGATTCAAATTGAGGTGGGCTAAAACAGAGCCTCTAAAACTTAGGCTAGCAGAGGAAACCAGGCACTGTGGCAGATCATGGCTGGCCTTGTTTGTGTGAAGTGATAGATGTTGTCTGTAATAATGAAAAGTCACTCATGATAGGATCTTCCAGGTTCTGTCTTCTGTTTGCTTCTTTCTTACCTCAGGAATGATCTTGTACATAGTCTTATTTATGTAAAACTAGGCATATTTTGGCAGGTGAATAGCTGTAACAAGTTGTGTAACTGCAGACTTCATGGAAACCGTCCAGAGACAAAGCTTTTGTACTGTTGTGTTCTTATTTGCTTCTGATTGGTGATCCTTTTGATTTGCGATACAGACCTGATTGATTGTCTAAACTCATTCCAAGTGAGACGGTTTCACCTTTTCTTTATATTTTATGCCTAGCCTTGAGCACTTTTCACATAACAACCACCATAGTTATTCGCAGGAGGTCAGGAAAAAGAACTTTACCCAACTTATTACATGTATCCTGAAAATTCAAGGCTTGGATGAGAAAATTTTAGAAGAAAGGAGAAAGTTGTTCTGATTGTGCTGAAACGATTAGATGATTTAGAGCGTGCAGGTATATGCAGGTTTTGTTATCACTATTATTTATCTCTGCCTTTGAATGTGTTTTATCTGCGTAGAAGGAATTACACTTACTATAAATGTTTTATTTGCTAGTTGGTCACCAGCTGGACGTTAGTGACCTCCACACGTTTAAGTAATGGTAGGAGAATTAGCAAATTATCTATTTTTTTGTCTTCCCTCTAACCGTCCGCTCCAACTGACCGTAACACACACACACACACGCACACACAAAGACATAGGCACACAACCAAGCTTTCCACTTACAAGCTCTTATAACTAAAACCAAACCCACTACTGTTAAGTCAGTTCCAACTTATAGTGACCCTATAGGACAGAGTAGAACTGCCCCATGGGATTTCTAAGGCTGTAAATCTATACAGAAGTAGACTGCCACATCTCTCTCCCACAGAACAAACTGGTGGGTTTGAACTGATGAGCTTTCAGTTAGCAGCTGAGCACTTTAACCACAGCACCTTCAGGGCTCCTTCAAGTTCTCATAAGCATACACAGAACTGAAGAGGGAGGGATATTTTCCCTGTCCTGGCTATATGGGGTAAGGCCTTTGCCTCAGAGAGCCAGAATTGGGGAATTGGCCAGATTATTGACTGAACTCATTGGGCCTGCTGTATTATTGTGTTTTACAGTGCTGGCATTTAATTATTAGATTATTGGTTAATGATTTAGGATTTGTGAATCATGAAAGCTTAGGAGCATTGCTGTGTAGAAAATGTCAGTCTATCAACCTTACTGGTGTGCTATAAAGGGACATTTTTGTACTGTCCTCTCTAAACTGTTCTCCAGTATAGACTTCTTAGACACTAAAGATCCAACACTGAGAAGGAATGCAGGGTGTAAGGAATGAAGCCTCTGAAATAGTTACTGTGGATTTATATGTGGCAGATCTTACTGTCTCTACACATTGGGTAGTGTTCATTGATTTAAAGAAATGATAGAGATTTTGAACTACTGACAGTCTTAAAAGTGAATTTAAAAACTTTTCATACTTTTTATGGTGTAAATTTCCTCAGCTTGGCGTCAGTGATTCAGAGAACTCTTGATCTTGAGGTAATGACTTTTCAAAAGTTTCTTATATTTTTTATCTCTTCTGAACATGAATTGTTATTTTAGATTTTTGACATTTGTATCAAAGGAGAAGTTAAGGAAATCCTGAGAAAACCAATAACTTTAATTTTGCTATAGACTTCAGAGGTGTTTAATTATGTGTTCGATAAATGCTCTCATACATGCAATACCTCTTCTGCCAACAAACCCAAGGGACCACAGCCTTTTTTATGTAGGAAACAGATCACCTCTAGAGAACAAACCAAAATTTAATAAAGGAAATGCTATACTGTGTTGAGGTGTGCATAAATAAGTATTAGTAATGTCATTATAATTTGGTTCCTTTAGATGCATTTTAGAATTTGTGTATATGGGATTTGTAGGCTTTAGAGGAAGTGTGAAAATTAGGAAAGTGTGGCTTTTGTTGTTTTTTTGCAAGGTGGGGTGGCTCTTTGGAGGCCTAGAAAGAGATCTAATGGTAAGAGTAAAGTTTCATCATGACAAGAAATAAAAAGCATAGTGATTTTTTTTCTTAGTTTATAAAGATTGTTTTACTGGCAATAATTAATATTAGATTTCTATTTCCAGATATAAGTATGTGAATTACAAAATGAATCATACTCCCCAAATTGTAGATTTTTGCTGCAGTAGGTTTGTTTGCTGTGAAGATTACTTCTCAAAAGACATATATTCATATTAGCTTAATTTTTAGTTTAGGTATGTTATAAATGATGTAATATATTTCTTTTGACTAAACATGGGAAAATTGTGTTATACGCTGAAAGTTTTTAAAGGCTTTGACTGGAGGTCATTTTTGTGGAGAAGGTATTTTATATGCTTTCAGTATTTGGAAAAGAAGTAGTCAAAAGGAATTCATATAGTTTAAATATTGTAAAATTAATATCCAAATAATATACTTGTCTGATTTCTTAATAAGCTGGGGGAGGTGGGTTGGGTGGGAATTGTAATGTGCAAATGAGTAGTGAACTCTACATTGATTTTTCAACTCTTTAACATAAACCTTAAATCTTAACACATTGTTACTTTAAATATATGTATAAAGTATTATTGTTTGTAAAGCTTCCCTTTGCTTAAAAAAAAAAAAAACCTGTCATGTAAGTATTTTCTGTATGTTGTGCCAACAGGTTAGAACATTAACTTAATCCATTAAAAAGTTAACTATTTCTTATTGATTTAAAATTTTTTTCTTTGAAATTATTTATTCACAAACATCCACCTTCCTTGCTCCTTCCAACCCCTACATACATCATGGAAACAAATTGAAATCTGTATTCTAATTAATGATAAAAATTTAAACTTTGTTGGCACATTACACCTTAAAAGTATTTGTGTTATTTTTTAATTTAATTTCTAAATATACCACTTGAATTTATAATTTAATGTCTTAATTGTGATGCACTAATAATAAGCTAGCAAAAATTAGTGTGAATTATAACATGAATGCATTTTCATCCTGTTCTTTTGCTGTATGAAGGATAATTGTTATGTCACATTTTGGGGGTAATAACAGCTTTTTTTGCACTATGTAAATACTAGTGGGTATTCTGTAACTAATAAAATGATTATTGAAATGTGGTTTGTCATTTTTCAAAATAGATATGTAAAGAATTTATGACTTGTCCATCATGTAGAATAGAGAAAACAGTATGGTCCAGCTTGTATTGCTCAGTGCTCACATAGTTTGCCAAGGAAGGCTGTAAAATCTGTGCAGGACAAAGTTAATAATAAAAATCTTAATTTAGATGGATGGTACAATCTGTAATGTGGGCCTAGTTATCTAGCCAGAGACCATGCTGGTGTTCAGAGAAGGCGCCTACGGATTCCTTCTTTTTATAGTACTTGTTCTAAGCCCTTTCCCAAAATTAACTCATTTAATCCTCACAACAACCTAATGAGGTAGATACTATTACTATCTTTTAGATGATGAGGCAGTCATAGATGCTAAGTGACTTACCCAGTGTCACACAGATGGTAAATGACAGCACTGCACTGGGTTTCAAACCTGAGCAGCCTCACAGCCAAAGTGCATACTTTTAATAACTATGCTGTCTCAGCACATGATGCACAGGGTTTGCACACCAGCTCCAGCAGCTGGGCCAGGAGAACCCTCAGCTTTTGCTGCAAAAGAGTCCTTCACCTTCAGATGTCGTCTGGCATGTGCAATGTGCTGGGACTGAACTGATTGCCTTAAAGACTGGGTTTATGGGTAGCATAGTGGCTAAGGCACGTGACTGCTAACCAGAAGGCTGGCGGTTCAAACCCACCAGCCACTCCTCGGAAGGAAGGTTGGGCAATCCTACTTCCGTAGTGATACTGCCTCGGAAACCCAAGGAGGGGTTGCTATGAGTCGGGGGCCGACTCGATGGCACATAACAACAACAACAACCTGATCACTCTTGACCTAAGAGTTTTCTCAGACCTTGTTACAGTGTCACAGTGAAACTTAGAGAATCCAAAGAACAAGTTCATTTGTTAGGAAATAGGATTGCTAATTTTCATAATGAAAAGAAATGGAGTTTTTGTTCGTCACAAGAGAGAGGGATTTCTCATCAAGTTTTAACAGATACTTCCTTCTTGACCAACGTTTGTACTCCATGGAGGATTACTTTCCTAACTGATCAGTTTTTCTGCTAATTGACCAGAAGAGGGTGTGCATGGCACCTGAAAACGGTTAAAGGCTACCTTGTGATATTAATTTTTTTGAAGGGAGGAAAAAGGAAGTATCCTGAAGTGTGGGTGTTGCCATAAAAATTGCTTAGTTTGTTGAGTCTAAGCTCAGAACTTGGGGACCATGCTCACAGATATTTTATTTCAGGAAGAATACTGCCAAATGACATTTAAATCACTTGTTAAGTAGTTAAGTCGTTTGAAATTTTTCAATTAGAAATTCAGTTAATATT